GGTAACATTTTGTACTCAAATATCGGTGGCGACACCGGTGCCTCTTCCTGATCGGACATTTTAAAGAAATTTCTTTGTTTTTTTTTTTCAATTTTTTTTATGGTTGTATATACTTGTATCGAATATATGTATAAATATATATATATATTTGTTTGTAGCTGTCGTATCACAGTGAAAATACGATCTGCTTGGCTTGCTTACAGCTGTCTAACTGAGAGCTCCAGGCGGTAACTGCTCCCACATTGCCAACCCAGGCAGCCACAACAAACGCTCGGCTCACTGCGACTAGCTGTCGAGGATTCCGATTGGCCGATTCAATTGCGCAGCGGCTTTCAATTAATTGGCGGCAACTGCTTCCAAATCAATACAATTGTCAATTGTCAACAATAAAGCGGACGGAAGGACGGCCGAGAGATGGAAACCTGACCACAAATTTCAATTGACTCAAATTGAACGAACGCATAAATATGACGATGATTATACACACGTATGCATGTGTATGTGTGCACCTCTATATTTACATAGGAAAAATGCCTGGCACTAGCCTCACACGACTTGGCACGACTTGACACAAGGCGCTGCTCTCAGCAACATCAGGCGATATCGTATGATATCGCACTCAGTTAATGGTGAGCGCGAACAGCCAATCAAAGTGTCGTCAATCAAATTCGGAGCAGCGCAGCCAAACTGATTGCCAAAAAATAAAGAATCAAAATCAGATCACTTGTCTATAAATGGACATGTTGCAGAAAATATAATCAAATTTAAACGATAAACGAACTAAAAGTACTTAAAGATAAACTGATTCAAAGTCACAATACAGACAGCAAGTTGGAAGTCAAGCCGAACCGTTAGTTAGAAGAAATTAATATCAATAATGAATAATGCCTTAGGGCAGGATGCTGGTTCACAGCCTTGACGTTTGCAGCCCTGGTTCAGTACAAGCTTAATTGCTTAATTTGTGGAGTCTCACGAGCCAAGCCTTAACCCAGAAATGGAGTCAATTTGCTCTTTGTGGGTGTGCAGCCCTGGTTTACTTTAATTTATTTTTAAAGGCTAAAAGTTAAATATAAAAAATGTGTGTAAATGCAAATTACAAAAAAAGACCTCCTAAACAAACATTTGTCACGAATGTAGCTCATTAAAAAGTTAATAACTTGTGTCAAGCGAAATTAAACAAAAAACATTAATTAAAAAAAAAAAAAAAACAGACATTCGACATGCACACATGTACATACATACGCATACTTATAAATATGTGTCTAAGTATATGAATACACTTATAAATATGTGTATGTGTATCGAAATCATTTCACGCTCGACTAATCATTGGCACGAGGAAATTAAATTAAAGATATATATGCATGAAAAAAAATAGGTTAAAATAGTTATAAATATATATATAAGTACATATGTACATATATTCGTGTTTCCTCAATGAGTAATGAATTGATGTTTGTATGAACTAGTAAAAAACCACAAGTGATCTAACAGTTATAAAACAAAAGTCTTCTATCCATAATCAATCATAATAATAGCCAATCTAAACATACAATAGTGCAAGTTATTTCCCAGCTATTGAGCATCAAAAATTCGCAAGAGTGAATTGTTTTTCCCCTTTCATTTCCTTTGAAAATGAAAATAGAACAAAGATATATTTTTGTAGAAATGATTCCAAACTGCGATTTTCTGTTTGCAGTCTCCACTGATGATGCAATCTTCAATGATATGACCTTGTGAAAGACAAAACATTTCGGTAGCTATCTCGCTTGCACACTTACCGCTAGATCTGCAAATCCGCTGCTGTTGAGAGATTGGTGGGTGGCGGATGCGGCCATTGTTGAGGACGTCAACGGAGTTGGATTCGGTGTGGACAGTAACATTGGTGGTGGGGACGGCAGCAGAAGTGGTGGAGTTGTGGGCGGAATATATTTGCGCTTGACTCCAGTGCTGCCATTGAGATAATCCTCGGATACCGCCGTTGTGGAGCAGGCGGGCAAGGTGTCATCCGGTGCGGTGGCCTCGACGCTATCATCCGCATCGCTCTGTGAGATTGTGCGCGTGATGTCGCGCAATGTAGTCGCTGCATGTGGCTCTGCCATGTCCACAATTACCGCCTTATCCGGGCTAGGGCTAGGAGTACTCGCCTTAGCCGGGGGGGGCGTGGCTGTGCTTGTGCGTTGCATTGTCGTCAGTTCTTTGGCGTCCATAGCGGGCATAGTAATGGCTGTCTCGTAGGTGCGCTTGCGAGTGCTTAACGTCGATGTGACCACAACGGCGCTGGCAGCAGCTGCGGCAGCTGAGGCAGTTGCGCCGGCGTTAATCGTGTTGTTAGTGTTATTGGCTATTACCGATGAAGTTGCCATCGCAGCGTCTCTGTTGCAGCGGTCGCGGCAGTTTTCCTGATTTTACTCTAAAAACTTGTACACACTAAAATAGAAAGAGCTCTTCGTTGTTGTTGTTCTTGTTGTTGAAAATCTGCAATTAGACAGAACAAGTGTATACATAAATAAATTAACGAACACAGATAAAAACGCGTCTGTAATCCGATGTAAACTCATTTGTGGCACTGATGCTCGCTCTTCTTCTTGCTGGCTGTGGCGGATGCGACACGTGACATTTTCATTAAATTACTGCCGGATGCCATGGACAAATCAATTCGCTTTAATTGACATTCGTTTCGTTTTGCCACGCGCGTTTTGATACAAAACACAATGCAGTAAAGCAATAATAATAAAAAAGTAAAAAAAAGAAGCAGAAGGTGAAGAATGTTCAAAAACAACAACACATTCTGGCACGTATTCAGCGTTCATCATAGGTAGTAGAAAGAGACAGAGAGAGAGAGAGAGAGAGAATCCGCTCTCTCTGCTTGACGATGACAAGTTTATTACGAGTGAGTAAAATAGAAAGTAAAACTTGAGGCAAACAGCAGTTGAACAAACACCGTTATTGTCAAGTTCGATGATAGAGCAACGAACACCTATATGTATATTTATATTCAGTCAATACATATAAACACACAATTTATTAATTAAAGTCCAATAATGCACGTGAGCACTCTGTGAGCGTAAAGAAACTATTACCTTAGATCTCTCTCCCGCTCTCTTTCTGCCAGTCTCTCGCGAACACACGCGCTGCTCCCCACAATCAGCTGTTTGTTGCGTGCTTTTTTCAAATTTTTAAATTTATCCAATGCTGTGTGCTCATAAAATATTTATGTAGTTTGCTTAGAACGCTGCCTGGCCTTCACAAGCCATATTACGTCAAAGCTTTTTCTTTTTGTATACATACATACATATGTATGTATATGCGAGAACCTAAACATTTCTTATCGTGTAGCAACGATAAGGTTAATAGGAATAAAAAATATTGGCCCGGAGACCAAAATTTACTATGTGTTCAGGGTATTCCGATCAAGGCTGCTGACGCCGGTGCTGCGGGTTATGCTACCACAGCTGACTCATTCAATTGGGCCCATGCAAAACCGGCTTTAAACCTGCGAATTCTCACGTCGCCTGTTCGTTCAAGTTCAAGTTAGTTTTACACAAAACTGGATTTATCCCACTGATGTAATCATTATTTCTGCTAGAAGAAATGGTGAAATTAAGACTCCAAAAAAAAAAAAAAAAAAACAACAACAAAACAAAAACACTTGATAATAAATGGTTGCCAGGCAGCCAGAAGAATCGTAACGCGGTTTAAGAGCAGCTGCGGGCAATATTTCGCTCATCACGTGACGTCACAAGCGAACGTCAGCTACAATCGTACGATCGGCGAATACACACACAGGCGCAAACGCGTTTGCATGTGTATACACAAACACACATATATGTATGGCCTGTCAGTGTGTGCATGACTCAAAACGTAAACAAAATACGAAGAGAAAAACGAGTACATGGGTACGTGGTAAATGAAGAAGAGTGCAAAGCGCATCGGCAGATGGGTAGATGGCATAGTCAGCACTGATAAAATTAACCGCCTGCGAGGTAGCTACCTGTTCTGTCTAATCTTAACATTTCTTTTCCATTATCTTTTTGAAACATGTTTCCGTTGCACTCTGTACACATAACTTAATGAGTTCCCGAATGACGAAGTGAACTAAGTACACAGATTAAATAGCAGTTAACAGGAATATATACATCCATATAGTGTAATATRTATACATATGTATATACATACATACATAGTATATTGATACAAGCACGAGCTCGATGATAAGCAGAGCGATAACAGAGACGGATCTATACATTGTATATACTAAATAAATTACTCTACATAATACTTTGAAAAAAGCGAACCTCGCAAAATTCCCCGACAAACAACGATAATTCACTTCGTCATCTGAAACGTCTCTAAGCCGAGCTCGAATACGGGGTTAATGTACGTGGCTCGCGTTTCTCTCTTTTTCTGCCAAAAAAAAAAAAGTCATGTGGAAAGGCCAAGAGGCAAAAACTTAACTTTATGTTTTCGCTGTACGTTTTCTGGGAATTTTCGTTCGTCAGTCTGACTTTAAAGTACAGTTGACACGTAGAATCCACGTTAACATAAGTTAGGAACGCTGTTATTCATTGATAAGCTGCTTGCCTTGCTCTACATATAGCGCAAAAATATACCATGTTCTGTATTACATATGCGTTGCATTGATAACCTCACAGTTGGCTCCCAACCATTATCGCAATTCAATAATTTGCCCAAAAATAAAAATTAAGTTGGAATTTGACCGGTGAAACAGCACAACTTACTCAATATGCATATATTGCGTATATAATTTAATTAAAATCCAATCAAACTTATGTTCCACCTGAAAACTATAAATCTTGAACACCCTGCGTCAAAATATAGATAAAGAGTTACATTAAACAACTATTTGTTCAATTAACACCACCTGCTGGCATAGTTGCTTGATAAGCAGCTAATCGAACTACTTCAATGCGCGAATTCTCGCAGAAATTTCAATTTGACATGTTTGATCCCACTGAGAAATAAGTTCACTACAAACAAATACTCACTCACACACACACACACACATATACATATATGTATATAAGGCACCCCCACTCATGAATGTCGATAAACGGTTTCATTGAGTAACGAAAACAGCTGACTAACTGTGCGTGGGCTTCATATGCGTACGCCACGATCAAACGCGCTCTCTCTCTCCCTCTCTCTCTTACTATGCTCTGCTCTTCCCACTACCGTTTCTTTTTGTTGCGTTTTGGTATGTACATTCATAGCTTTGAGACTAGAGTCAAAATTAGGCAACGGTAAAAAAAACGAACGGTCGCTTGGGAAAGTGGAGCATGAGCGCAGCTGGCAGCGACGTCAGCGTCAAGCATGAGTAATAATGGGCATTGCGCTGGTTATTATTAAATTTGTTGTTTTTTTTTTTAAATTGTATATATGTATACATTTTTAATTTTTGCAATGCCAACCAACAGTGACGGTGCCAACTTTAAATCGTATGATCAGAGCACAAAGTTCGCTAACAGAGGTGCTACACTTGAGAGAAAAGGTCAGAACGATTAGTATTAGAGAGAGAGAGGGACAAAGAGCGAAATGTAAAAGAAATAAGAGAGAGCTACGTTGCGCGTTGCATGTGCCACAACAAACCCATAAAAGTCATACGATGTCGAGAAAATGACGTGGCGACAACCCATCGTAAGGATTAACGAGGGGGGAGGAATGAATGGAATCGGCGGCGCCACGCCGGTTGTAGCACAAATCGATGGCGCAGCAGCAGCAGCTGTTGTGCGAGTGCATCAAATATCTGGGACCTGAACAGCATTGTTATGTAAACATCTGAGCTTTGGTAGAAAAACCAATCCAGAAAGACGGATATGGAACGCATTAAGAACAAATCAAAATCGAGTGCTAATTTGCTAAAAAAAAAAAAATGAGAACGGTCACAGCTTGAGAGAGGGAAAGAAATAGAATTGCTCACGTCACGGGCACCGCGTCAACGTCATCGCCAATTGGCAGGGGAGCAGCAGCAGCAGCAGCAGCCGCGGCACTGCGTCGTTTTGTACATATTTGTGCACACACATATGTATATATTTGTTGTAACCCAACAGACAACAACAACAACACCATTTACCATAGAAAATTTAGGCCAACTTACTTTCAACTTTTCTTTTTATTTAGCTTTAATATTTCGGCTAAAAATCGATGAGTGCTCGTGGTGCTACGTTGTATTATATATGTATTATCTTTTTTCACACAGAATGACGCACCATGAATTAAATTGTTTGTTTTTGTAGCACTGTGCGCCTGAGTGGCAATTATTAACAATCGTCGCTGATTCACTTAGTGATGTTGTTATTTGTTGATGCTTCAACCACAGCAAATGTTTTAAAGCTAATGTGTGTCCGCGTCTGTCCGTCGCAACAAAACGAGTAGAAATCGCGCTCAGAGTAACTTATGTTAAGCGTTGCCACATTGTTAATCAATGCCACCGGTTAAACAAAAGTATATCGATAGTTTAATAGCACGTCATTTCGTAAGCGAATGGCAATTACTTACGTTATCCGCACGCAATTTAAATTTGATTCCCAAAATAATTTAAATGTAATTGAATTAGACAACTAATATTTTTTGCCATATTTTGGCTGTCTTTTGTATATTTTTATTGACACTCAATAACTTCATAAATGTTTTTTTTTTTTTTTTTTTGACTAAATAAAATACAAAATAAAGCTTGATATTAACGTAAACACCATGAATCTTAATCACTTAATTTCAATAATATCAAAATATAGACAATATTCAAGTCACAAAAAATCTCTTTGGTACATCAACTAAATAAAAAAAGCAACCGTTGTAAAAAAAAATAAATTCACTAACTTAGGGTAAAAATTGACCAAGTTATTGGAGGAGCTTAAATGCTAAATTCTACACAATAATTCGTATTGAACAACTTTTTTTTTTTAGAATTATTTGGGATTAATTTCATAATTGCACAGAATTTTTTTTGTTAAACTTTGGCTTCACAATTTGACTCGTGAACACTTGGCAAGCGAGTTCGATGGCAAGTGTTTGGGATTAGGATTAAAATTGGATGACAAGTCTTATTAGCTTCGATCAAACTAACAACGAATTCGAGTTTTAGAGATTCCCCGTTAACTAATTAAGGGCATATGTATGAGTATTCTAGGTCACTGGTTGCATATGTCTGTGGGTGAGTGATAGGCTGGGAGATACCTTGTCTAATTATATTCTCAGCACTGGGATGGAATGCGTATGCCCTGTGTAATGGAGTTCTCCAGCACGATGTGGCAGTCATCGAGCGGCTCCAAAATTTGTATAAGAAATGTTAAAAGATTGCGACGACGCAAAAAACTCTCCTCCTCGTACATCTCCTGGGTGACCTTCGTCAAAGCCATGGGTTTGATAAGACGTGTCAGCAGATGCTCCCTGTTAAAACAGTATTTATAATTTAGTTATACACATATTTCCTTTAATTGAGATTGTCATACCTTAAACTGAGGCATATGAGCAGCTGAAATTTGCCATCTTTGCCCAGTGTGCTGGCCGTACCATTAATCTCGTCCATGAGCTGCACATAGAGACGCCATATGCTGGAAATTTCACGCCTCTGCAAGCTGTTGCAGCTGCCATTACTGAAGGAGGAGTCCAGACTGGATGCCGAATCATCCAGTTCCTGTTGCAGATTCTGTTCGAAAAGCTCTTTGATCTTGGCTGGAAAATACATTTTTCATTAGCTTAAGGTATAGTCTTAATCATAGACCACCTACTAAAGTAATCCCAGATGTACAGATTACGTCCGAAGAAACGGGATGAACGAAAGCCGCAAAGGAAGACCTGTTCCAGGCATTTAACCAATCCATCATCACCACACAACAGATTCGTCAGGGTGCCCACATCACGATCCCGACTTGGTTTGTAATGCCACTTGACAATCACGTTGACGCAGTTGCCCAACTGATGCTGAACCTCTGAGGGCGACACCGACTCCTGGCGCTGCACACTGGGACTGCGAGTCCGTGGAGGTGTGCGTGTAGGTGGCACCAGCTCGGCATTCTTAACGCTGGTGAGCACACGTTGACCAACCAGCAGGCGTTCCGTCGAATCGTCGTCGACACCCTTGCCCAGCCAACGGCCGCAAGGGAATCTAAATTACGAATTGCGTCATTTGATATTCGAATGGGTTAAATTACTTGTAGGTGTAAATTACTTGTAGGTGTGCCCAGTGACCTCATTCCTCATTACCACCTGCTCCACCAGCCACTTGTGACTCGGCCCCGAGTTGTCATGTCCTATGCGCATGGTGGTCAGCAAGCCAAGATTCTTGTACTGCAATCAGTTATAAAGTATTGAGTGAGTGTGAATAGAATGCTAAATTGGCTCGACTCACATGAAAGATGAACTCCAACGAGCCCTTGGGCACGGGCACACGTTGGGTTTCATTCATGGTGCCGGAGACCATGATCCACACGTTGCTGGAGGTGTGGTAGGAGCCGTGTTTACGTGATGGAAAGATGACAACGCGATAGGGCAACTCTAAATAAATGTTAATTACAAAATAAATATACGCGTCTCTCTGTTTCAGCTCAACCTACTCGTTGTGGGATAGATGTTGGTAAAGCTGAAGTAGTCCACAGTATTGAGCGTAAGCAGATGATAGAGAAACTGCTCCTTCTCCTCCTCGCAGCGCAGGAAGGCAGACCGCTTGTAGAGTGTACGCAGCAGACTCTCATCGGAGAGCAGTGTGCGAAAGTGGCGGGACAGGAGTTTTTTCTCCAAGGAGAGACGCACCCAGGCGCGCGTATAACCAATGTGTGTCTTGATGTCCGCCATGGCCAGCACGTTTCTAGAGAGATTGATTAATATATAAAGTTCACTCGCGCAATAGCTAAAACCCACTTGACATCAAACTCCAGCGACTCGGGCAGCGGGCACAGCTGCTCCAGGCCCACAAATTTGTTGCGATCCCGTGAACGACTACGATTCGGACTGGGAGGACTCTCGAAATCCGTTTGGAATGTGGACAAATCTGATAAGCGAAATGTGTGAAGCTTCAGTTAGATGCTCTTGCCGAACAAATTCGATGCACTTACAATCCATGCGTTTGCGCATGGCATTCCAGGCCAACGCTGGCGAGGCGCTGGCAATATTCATCTTGTTGCTGCTGGGGCTACTGGACACTGGCGTTGCAGGTTCCACGCTGCGTGACTCCTGCTGCTCCAGATAGGCCTGCAGATGAGCCCATAGCGCCGACTTGCCCTGTTTATTCTGTAGGCCATGCGACCAGATCTTCTCCAGCAAATCGCACATGCTCGCTATAAGTGTGTTCTCCTCGACGCCGTCGCCTTTGAGGCCTAGGGCCACCGCCTCGTGTCCCATCTTCTCGAGCAGCATGCGCTTCGTCTTCGACTTGATGTCCTGTAGAAAGTTGTGACTTTTACAACTGCTGTCAAGAGTTGGCTTGGCTGTGCTCTATTACCTTTAGCAAGCGCTCCACAAATGTCCAGTTGGCCTGCGCTATCAGAGCGGGACTGACGTCCGTTGTGGTCAGATTGGCCGAGAGTCGATTGATGGCCGCATTCGAGTTGCAATTGGCACTGTTCGACGGCTTCTGATCCAGCGATATCTCCCGGGCACGCCATTTGTTTCCATTCTTAACCCGTCGCAAGCTGTTGCCTCTGTTCAAGGATTGGTTTTGTTTGTTTTTTTTTTTTTTTTTAATGAATGGTTAGCGGCATGGTTTTGAAGAGTTTTAGTGAAATTTTGAGAGAGAAAGATTTATATTAATTGTAGTTACTAAAAATGAGTCCAAATTATGTAGAGGATGGGTGCGCATGCGGTGCAAAGGAACAAAACGAGAGAGAGAAAAAATGCAAAAAAAAAGAAACGAAAAATTTAACAACAGTTTATGAATTATTTGTTGTTGTCACAATTTATTGGCTTAAATAATTGTTAATCAATAAATTATTGTACAAAAGGCAAACAGAATCAAAAGCAGTACGAGTTAAATTCTAATTGGAAGACCAGACGGACCGAGCATCGGCACTAATACAGAAACTATATAATACATATTCTAACACAATTAGATAATATCAACGACATTGGGTGGGGGAACAGGTGGAACAGAGGCTCAACGACGTGGTGGAGGGAAGTGCGAAATGAATGGACTAATCAAAGGGAATTGGGATAGGGGACGTGCTTGGGAATTGGATTGGTTTGGAGTGTAGGTACATAGAGTTCGGTACAAGTGCATTAAACACTACCTCGAGGCGCACTCCTGATTCAACACACCCTTCTCAAGCAGCGGAAAGCTGCGAAAGTAGGCGGCACGATTAGATAAAATCTCACTTGGCGGCGTCACCTCAATGTCAATGCAATTGAGACGCTTCTCGAAGCACTGCTGCGAATCCTGGCTGAGCACGCATGGCTCATAGCTGGTGGCGCAGATCATATTCTCGCCATGTCGACGCCTGTGAAGCAACAGAGAAACTCACTTTAACCCAAGCCACATCACAGTAAATGGAAGCTTACCTTAGCAGCTTAATGCGCTGATCGAATAGCTGCAGCTGCTCATCCGGCTGTGGCTCCCACATGGCCAGAATTTTGTTGTCAATGAGCGTGGCAAACATTTGAGATTCAAGGAAGCGCGAGAGAAAGGCGCGATGATGTTCTGGCTGATCGGAGAGAAAGGACGACTTGTCGAAATTTTGCAGTGTTTCGCGATTCGAGAGCCACTCGTCCTTGGCCTGATTGGGATAGATGACAAAGTATTCGTAGGCATGGAACATGTGAACGAAACGATTCAGAAATATCTCTCGCAGCGAGTTATTTATGCGCAAATCCTGATAGTATTGCTCCACCGCCGACAAAATTGGCTTTTCAGCGCGCCGCGATAACGAGCCCATGCGAGAGGGCGGCAGTGTTGAATCCACGGCATCGACATCCTGATAGATGCCCACTGGGGACGAAGACAAGGACAGAGTGGGACTGCCAACGGGGGAGCCACCACCAGCCTGGGCAGCCCGCATGCCTCCCTTGCGACGCAGAAAATCGGCAATGCGTGGCACATGGTCGATTTTCGATGGATGCGCCACCAATGGCTGATAGTCCACGCCTGGCATCTGTGAGGGCGAGCCACCGCCACCACTATTGGACAACGTGTAGACCGTCTCCTGTAGTTGCTGGAAGCGCTCTTTGCTGCGACGCGCTGCCTGCACACCGTTGGGCAGCGTGCAGCTAGAGATCATAGCATCGGCGCCGCCACGCATGGAGTAGCCATTCTTTAGGCTGGGCTCCTGGGCGCGATCGCGCTCGATTTCGAACTTGTCCAGCACCGAGATGATCTCGGCCATAAAGTCCATCTTGTGCGGAAACACCGGCAGCTCCTCGGGCAGCTGGATGTGCTTCTTGTCGATGTCCACAAAACACAAAGCTGCTTCACTGCCAATCTTATGCGCTGCCTCGCATCCGGCGTGCAGACCCATCACAAACGGCACCGGCGCGTCCAGAAAATGATGCAGTGCAGCGGGTAAAATAGGCGCATAGACATGCGGCCAAATGAACGGAAACAGCAGCGATGTGATGCTCTCGCCCACAATCATGAGTCTTTGGTAGTCTACCGAGGGGAATACAGATATATTTAGGGGAAAAAATGCATTTGATTCGCTATTTACCTGTGGAACGCAGCAGCACCTGGCTCTCCAGCAGCACACAGGTCAGCAGCTGAATGACGCACTCCACACCCAGGTAGCTGAAGAGCAAACGCAATGGAAAGTCGAGCAGCGGCAGCTCAGTGGCGAGCGCAGGACGTTGCAGGATCAATGCAATAGCTGGCAGATGTGGTTCCGTGGGTGGCAAATAGATGCGTATCGATTTGCCCGGCTGAGGTAGCATCACTTCATAGAGTATGTTATACACATACGACTCCAGACTAATGCCAGCGCCTGGCTGTCGTGGAAGACAACTGCAAAGGTAAATTTATAATTACATTTACAGTTGTGCAAATAGAAACAGAAACTTATCTTAACAGATAAAGAGAACATACATATAATCAATTGATTTGTATAAAAAATCTAATAATAATACCAAAAATAATNNATATATGAATTATCAACAATTAGATAATAAATGCTCATTACGTCTGGTATAATTCATCGAACCGAATATATAAATAAAATTGAGCTGAGTGACATATCACATATGTGAAATTAAAATAATATAAGCGTGAAGGATATTTAAGTACAAAGTCATAGATAATATAATATATATAGACTAGATAGTATTATATAGTCTAGATATGCCCATACATATAATATAATATAGAGTCTAGATAGATGAAGTTTAAAGGCGATGAAGACAATTGAGTAAGAACCCCATTTTACCGGTACAGATTCTTGAGGAACAACTCTGCGGCAAATGCATAGGGCGCTTGACAAATCAATGAGATACTTTTGGCCACATATAGCTTGTCCTTGCTAATGTCGTAATAGCTTTGTGCGGACTGCGGCGCCTGGCCGGCTACTTTGAAGTGTCGCGGCAGCGAACGACTGACCGGTCCATCCTGCTTGATGCGGCTCAGTGAGTGCGTCTGCTGGCCATTCGATAGCTCCGTTATGAACATGGACTGCAGCGTGTGGATGGCGCCACAGATGTTCCGATTGCGTATCTCCTCGTAGAAAACCAAACTGAAGCCATAACAACGTTTGCCATCCTCTCTCGTTGTGGCAAACGAATGGAACTTTGGTTCAATATTGTGTTTCTGGGTGCGAAAGCGCAGGCCCTGCGGCAGCGACAACTGCAAAGAGTAAACGGGAAAATAGACTTGTACTCGTTGCTAACAATCAGATCTACTTATGTGCTTTTTCGTAATAATGCTAATGAATCTATAAATCTTCAATTATCAGCTGTCGTTAAGCTGTGCATAAGAAAATCATTTGTGTGCCCCATAAATTGCAATCACTGTAAAACGTTCTTAAAGCAGATGCCCAATACATCTATATAGATGTATATACAGATACAAATATATACATTGCTGGGCACTTCAAATACTCTCAAAGTGTATACAAGTGAAGATTTTGTTGTACGATAAGCTACGCGTGGCTGTTTGCTTATCGATAGCGCAGTCGCCCGCTGTTGATGTGGCATCAATTAAAAGCAGCTCGCAGTCATATCATCATCATGATCAATGAGCAGCAAGTCAGTGAAGCATGAATTTCATATTTGTGTGCTCAGGGCACTCGGACTGTGCCCGATTGGAGGGCTAGACTTGCTTGCATCATCATGCAGGCAATTGAACTTAATTGAAGACCTCGCCCATGTGGCTACATGTCTATTAAATGGCTGCACCTACCATACATATGCCGTGTGCATCGAATGGATTCCAGGGTACATTTTCGGGATAATGGGCTAATGGTTTGCTCTTGTAGGCGCGATCCAGCGGCGAACAGTGCAAATTATCACCTAAACAAATATTTAAAAAAAAAAAGAAAAAAAAAAGAAAAGAGAAATGCGTGTTAATATTTTGATAACTTTCCAACTACTTGTTGATGTGGCCTACCAGCAAAACGATCGGGCTCCAGGCCCGTATCTAAATCCAAGCCACATATCACAAAATAATCGGCAAATCGTGAGAACTGCGGATCCGCATCGCGTTTCAATTGATTCAACTCGGATTGCTCGCCAGGCGACGTCGGTGATTGCACCATGGACATCGTTGCTGCCGTCGTGGCTGCTGAACTGCCGTTGATGCTGTTGCTGTTGCTGCTGCCATTGCTGTTGCTGTTGCTATTGCTATTGCTATTGCTGAGCATCAATTTGGACAAGCGGCTGGCAACATTTTCACGCGCCGTCATAATTTGTTTGTCTGTCTTTTGTTCGTTGCTCGATTGCTCTAAATTGTACATCAAACAAACGCCTCCATGTGTGCGTGCTTGTGTGTGCACATATGTTCGTTTGTGTGTGTATTGAGTGCTATTACCGTTGTGCGCTCGTTTACTGTTGTTGCTTTTTTTTTGCCACTTTCCAATTATCACGACGATGGCGACGACGTCAACGTCCCTGGCCCTGTGTCAGTTTTGTCTGCAAATATATTATTGTTAATCGTCAAAATGAGACACTATTTGAGTGTGTGTGTGTGTAACTGTGACCCTTTTGATTGCCTTGTATGTATGTATGTACATGCGAAAATTCTATGCCAATGGCACAGTTGTCGTTGTCTGCTTTTCACCCCCACACCACACACTGCTTTAAGACGCATTCGTTTTCTAAATGATTGTAACCTTGGTCAGGTGCTTTAATTTTTCAAATTTTATACACTTGCGATTTGGATCAAGCCAGAAATAAAAAACTTATGTGTTTGAATTTGTGGTACACATTTTTAGCACAAACAAAACAACTTTGCGTATTACCGTTGTTCGCAATTTGCACTTTCCAAAATTATTTTTGCTTTGCGATTGCCTTATTATCGATGATTTTGTCGATAGCTTGTAAAGATTAGGTTCGATAACTAGTTCAATGGAATCAAATCAAGAACAGCTGATTTTTGTTTACGTTTTTTGTAAACATGCAAAGTACAGATGTACTGCATTTTAATGAAAAATTGCAATATTTTTCAGAATGTAACCCACTTTTCATTCATTTTATTACACATTTAAGCAGGAATTACTTGTTGCTTATAACTATAGTAAATCGCATGACAATGCTTTCTATAGATTTAATAAAATTAGTTAAAGCCAGTAATCACTAACTATTATTTCAATATTACAATAAACAGATTTTCGATGGCTAGCTATCTGATATCAAAGTATCGATATTATTATTATCGTAGTAGTCTTATCGTAGAAACCACACATCGATTATTGAAGTATATTGAATCAGTTGATGTGTACACACTGAGCTCGTGAAACGTGAAAAAAGTTCTAAACTGTATTTATGTGTGGCGACATTGTCGCATATTTAATAAAAAGCTGGAGAACGGCGAACGGAAAAACACGTTCACAGCTAGTTTAAGCTTGATCGATCAAGAATTCGTTTATAATGTTGGAGTCGATATTGAATTGTTTTTAAAAAAGCGTCTGAGCAGTGGGTAAGAACTCTTAGAACCTCTTAAGCACACGACTATATGTGTGTATGCGTGGATGTATATTATGTGTTAATTCAAGTATATGTGTGTGACTATGTGATTCTCTGTGTGTGCAAATGTGTTTGTGGCTCAAAAAGGCTTCGGTCGTAAGCAGCAGCAGCTGGTGATAAAAACAACAATAAAAACAACTCCTTGTGGCACTAGATTCCTGGTATCCCTACTCTACTCCTGCTTCGCTTGTCTCTCTCCCCTCTTCTCGTTTGTTGTTTATTTTTGTCCGTAACAACGCGGAAGTTTGGAACAACAACATGAAATTCAGTGTGGGGCCTCGATGTAATATTACCGGTTTGCAAATGCCACAATTTCGAGTTTTCCCAGCTGCCCCACAGCAGCAGCAGTAGTAACAGTAATAATAACAACAACAGTGTTGCATGCAACATAGCTTTCCGCATTGCATCGTTTGCTTTTGGGGCTGGTAACACGGTTTTGTGGCGTTTAAAATGCAAGACGCGTTTAATAAACAATTAATTGCAATGCAATAAACAACATCGACTCGCACCATCAGTAGTTTGTTCGTGTAATATTTTCATTATTATTATTATTCACTGTTGTTGCTGTTATTGTATGTATGTTAATTGTTACATTGCGCTATTGTTTCTGTTGCATAAGAAGTTATTTACAAGTCAGGCTTTGCGTGCTTCTTATTGTCCCTCTCTTCTCTCTCGCTAGCAACAACCTGTTAGCTGTAAAGAAACAAAATATATAGAAAGAGAGAGAGTGAGTGAGAGGGAGCGTGAGAGAGAGAGAGAGTGAGAGAGAGGGGGTAAAGTGAACGAACGAGAGACACGCACACATACATACATATGTACAAAGCGCTAACTCAGTTTGGCCTCTTTCTTTCACAGTGTGCTGCTCTTTCCACCTGTGAACAATTATCGCCGTTATCTCATACATCAAACATGTGAGAACTATCGCCAGCAATACGATCTTCTAACGTTTTCCGTGGGTCAAGGCCCGCATCGACGCACAGTTGTCTGTTTTCGCAATCAGCTTATTGATCCGCACGGATTTGAATCGTAAGTAGCGCACCTTTACACATACATATACGAATGCAATTCTTTCATATTCTTAATGTTGTTGTGACAGCCGTAAACAGGAACAGCAGCAGCAACAACAGCAACAACAGCAGCAACACCAACAACCAGTGAAGAGCTGGCGAAGCAACGGTAGAAGCAGCAGCGCAACTAGAAAACGCGTAACGGAACTGTGTAAAATGGGCGTTAAGAAGCATATCAGCGAGACACCTTGTAAGTAAATCATAACATAATAATGCTGTTCCGTATTTCTTGCGCTCTCATTAATATTATGTTAATCGATATTTAATGACCAGTGCAGTGTAAACTACTTAATTATATTCAGTATTTAAAATTGAATTTATTTAACGAATATTATGGCCACACCATTATTAAGCATAAACATATAACAAGTATGTGTTACATATATGCACGTATTTATAATATATATATACACATGTATGTGTGCGTGAGTGTTTTTGTATGCAATGGAAGTTGGCACAATTGGCAAGCTTGAAAATATTTTGCAAATAGACAAAATAAAAACAAAGAAAACCCAACAAAAATAAAATTAAATGAATACCAATTAATTATTTAAGTTTGTGCGTATGTGTGTGTGTGTTTGTGTGCAAACGACTAAAAATAAAGCCAAACACGCCGGCGAACGTACGGGCGCCAGTTCGTTTTGTTTGCTCGGGTCACGCAGCTTATTCAAGGTCGTCCTCTTTCGCGAGCTGCCTTTCAGGTTGCATCACACTCAGCTCTCAGCTCATTCGCTCTCCCTCTCTCTTGTTTCGTTTTGGGTACTTGCTCTCCCGCTCGCTCGCTTGCTTGCTCACTTGTTGCGCCCTGTTTGAGCGAGACATGTTGACATTCACGAAGCAGTGCCCAAAGCGAACGAACGTAAAATTAGGTCAACATTAGTGAATTTTGTATAGCTCTTGTGTGTAAATATATATGTATATGTATATTTATATATGTATATGTCGGTTTACATACTTTTTGCCACATGCGTTACTTCATCTGATGAATTGATTAAAGTTTGCTAACAATTATTGTATTTCTTTCGCTTTACTCTGTTAAATTTTTGTTGGTTTCTTTTGCAGTAAGTAAATCGAACTCTGTGGATCTCTACAGGCCGCCCGCACTCAGGCACAACAGCAGCGAGGAAGCAACAGCAGCAGCCACAGCAGCAGGTGCAACGAATGAAACGGTGCCAGAGTCAGAGGCAGCACCACAGACTACAGCAACAGAAATAATCTCGACAACTACCTCAGTCGCACGCAAAAGGTCGCCAGGCAGGTACGCGCTGTCCATTGATTAAAACCCAGCAACCTTATTATTTATGTAGTAAACACACGAGTTTTATTATCATAGTTAAACGCAGTTTTTTTTTTCGATAACATATTCATATGTGTTTGATTGCATTATTTTTATTGCATTATTGTTTTGCAATTCTTTGTATGGCGCTTGCACTTGACAACTGTTTTTTACGAAATTCTTCTTTATGTGGCTTTTTGTCTGTATTTGTGTGTGTGTGTGTGCATTGATGTGTGTGTGTCTGTGTTAACCGCTGTCATTATTTTCTCTGTTTTGTTTTGATCAACTGCTTCGCAGAGAGCAAGCAAGCACCGCCGCGGCCGAAGCAGCAGCAGCAACGCGTCGTGAACGGCGTCCCGATCGCGCGGTTTATGTGCCAAGGGCACGACGCAGTCAAACAACGCCTCCAACAACGACAACAATGCCGATGCCAACGCCAACCGGAGCAGCAGCGCCGACTACGTGCAATCAACAGCTACAGCCACAGCCACAGCCACAGTCACAGCCATTGGACATGCCAGTTGTAAGTACAAACCCGTCAAAATCAGACGACGGTAACGGGCAGCAGCAGCATCAACAAACGAAAACAAAAAAATCAAGATCTCGCCGAGATCGTGGCAAGAAATCGGTTGGCAAAATTATTGAGCCAGATACGTTGCTTGTGATTGCGCCTAGCGAAAACCAAGCTAACCAAATACCAGATACGCCAGGACCACCGCCAGATAGCAACTGTGATAAAGAGGTAATTAATTATATTGTAAATTTGCCAAACTAAGCCCGAAATGAAACTAAAATTTCCTAAAATTTTTCAGACAATGCGAACAAAGACGAGCAAAACCCACAAACAGCAACAGCCGCAATCGTTGCGCATCGAAGATGCTGCGCCGCCAAAAGCCAGCAATGCGCCAACGACTGAGGATGTGAACAAATGTGATAACGAAGTGCGCGAACTGCAGCGAGCCTCTAAGGTAAATGCGTTGGAATACATTTTGTGGGTACATTTAGTTCAATTTGATGGTGCTTATAGGAAATCAACCGCAGCAATCGTCGCATCATGAAACAAACTTTTGTATCGGATGTACTTGAGATACCCGAAAAGATTGAATCAGCACCTCAGATTAGCAATGCCACTGTCACAGCAGCAACTACAACAACAGCGGCAGCAAGCGCAGCTACTGCTACATCGCTGACACCACCTGCCGACAGCACCACCGAGGATGATGATGACGAGAACGAAGATGATTGGGAGAATATGTTTGATGAGAACGGCGACTGCTTGAATCCAAAGATTCTGCAAGAGCTAACCGAATCGGTGGGCAAGTGCAAAATCGAATTGCCCAAAATGGATTACAGCGTAAGTGAATGTAGCTGCATAAATGTTCCAATCAATATTTTATTTATTTTGTAATCCTTCAGCTTTATCACATTAAGCAGTCGCTGCTCAATGAGGAGGAGTTTCCGCATGTGCTGGAGATCTCGAATTTCCCAGTGGAATTCAAGACACCGGATCTGCTAATGCTCTTCTCGCAGTACAAAAGTGCCGGCTTCGATATCAAATGGGTGGATGATACACACGCTCTGGCTGTCTTTAGCAGCTCCCGTATTGGTAAGTAGAGGAAAGCGTAAGGTATGCTTGTCAAAGTCAACCAAAAACTTTAATTTTTATTTATTTGGTAGCTGCTGAGGTACTGACCATGGGTCATCCATTTGTTAAGTTGAAGCCACTGGCCGAGGCCACACTGGAATCCCGTCTCAAGGCGAAGAAGGCGGGCGCCACATCGCTTCAGCCATATCGACAACGACCGGAAACTTGTACAGCGTTAGCGCGACGTCTGGTGTCCGGCGCTCTGGGTGTTAAGTTGCCTACGGCACCAGAGGAAAGGGAGAATGAAAGGCGTGTCCTACGTGAAGCCAAAGGTGACTGTCTTATCCATATCCATAATATTTGTTTTATATCTTATCCATTTGTATTGTAGAACGTAAACTTTTAGCTGCCAAACAGCGCGACGAGGTCTGGGAAAGCTAGGCCATTACGATAGGTGGCATGAATGCATTTTTGGCGGCATGCTACACAATGGCTGCCCCATATCCAACTCTCACTGTCCTCTCGTTCTCCTTCTCCTTCTTTCTCGTTCTATCCCTTTGTGACCCTCCTCACTGTCTCAATCAAAGCTAGTTTAAAACGTAAATATTATTTGTATGCTTAATTGTGTACTTTAAATGTTTCGCTTTTCATGCAATTCGCAATACAAATTTTTGCTCAAGTGTTAATTTTTTTTATAATAGGAGTGCACGCGTATTCGTTTAATTGGAAAATATGTGCATATTATATAAACATATATATATATAGTAATTATACATATGTATATGCGAAAGTGCGTATATATTTATTTGTCGTAGAACATAAGCAGACATGCATAATATCTAAATACATGTTGTTTTAACTCCATGCGTAAAATTTTATTTATAAGCGCAAGCAATTTATATAAATATATTTTAATAAAGTTTATAGTGCTTAAGTATAAAAGAAAATATATATTTCTATTCTCTATAAATTCAGAGGGACAACATCAAACCAATCTTTTCGTCCCTTGGCATAATATTAATTAATGTTGAAATTTGGGATGAGCGATATAAACACGAAATAAATCGTGAGAAGCAGCAACCATCTCTAGCTCGGGCGAAAATCAAAAAGTTTCACGCCAAAAGCTAAAATTTGAGTTTCCCGCGCAGGTTACTCGCTGCTTCTAAACCAACGAGTTTCGTTTTGTTGATAGCATTTATGTGTGAATTCCCTCAACAGATTAAATTTCGCAGCGAATGCATGGATAGCAAATTACGCCATGAGCGTTTAGTGGAATACATAAAGGGGATTGCCCGGTAATTGTTAGCTTCTTGCTGAAATCAAGTTTGTACAAATGCTTCGAATATACATATGTATTGTAGAAAGAAAATAGTCGCCTTTTATGTCACGGTTGCCATGTGGAAAGAAAATATAATGAAATAAACATGTAACTTATAAAATATATACGTTAAGTATAAATTTGTCATTTTATAAAATAATAAATTTTTTTATTATAATCAGAAAACGGGAAATCATATGATCAGCAAAACGATTAGTATTTTATTGGAGTATACATGATTCAAAATATAAATGTTTACATAGACATATTAGCGTTTATTAGATAAACTATTAGAAATGATTAATCAATAAAGAGTTCACGTACGGCTTTATGGGTGCTGGGACTGTTAGCCAAACTAGTGAGTGTGGTTAACAACTGATCAACTTTTTGTCGGCATGCATTGAAATCTTTAACGTTCATGCGATCAAAATGATTGCAATCAGGGGCTAGGAAATATGGTAAAGTTGCTTTTTTAAAATATTGTACCAATTTGGACCACATGAGAACTAGCGTCTTTCCCTCATTCTGTTGCCACAAATTATCGGTTGCATTGGACAGTTCTAGTAGGATAACGGTTTTTAGCATATAGCTGGTCAGATGAGGCAAATGGTCTTTGTGAACGTCGCGCATTGCCTTCATCAGGCGCAACGTGTTCTTCAAATTATACTTGTTCGTCATCATTTCACGTTCCCAGTGTGGTGCGCAGACCATAAAGCTTCTGTCATCACTCGGGGCCTTGGTCTGTGGTATGGCGAACCAGGGCCAATCTTCTCGCACCTGTGGCGTAACAGGTGGATCATTTAATGGCCAATCCTTGTAGGAGAATTCAAAAGCTGGCACTAAATCAAAGGAGATTTTTCGAGCATTGCTCGAAGCAACTATAGTGTGGGCACAGCCATATCCTTTCATCCCATATTTAAGCGTATAAGTCTCACCGTCAACGTTAATTGTTTTACATTCATGAAGCAATACATGGGTAAATCCATCACGTAGCCATGATTGCAAGCGCTTATGATTCACGTAAGAATTTTCGACAAGTGGATGGTCAATTGCATCTGATGTAAACAAAAAAACGAAGCCAGGGCGTAGAATGTCGCGTTTGGGTATTATGTGGAATGGAAGCTTCAGTTTCATATGTAAATCGAATTCGTCGGGAGTCTTTAGCTTAAGACGATCCAAATAGCTGCCTGCAATGTATTATAAATGCATACAGAGTGATTCAACAGCTCAGAAAATAATTTGATAATATTTACCAGTCAAACTCAGTCCATCGAACGCCTTCTTAAAAGCCTTATCAGTTTGCTGCAATGATCTCATAAGCTCGTTGCAGATAGTCTGTGCATGGAACGTATATTTGCTACGCTCAGCATCTTTAATCTGTAGTTCTTCAAGAACAGATTGTAAGTGCGAGGCGAAAGACATGTTGCGAACCCACTTAGTCGGAAGAATATTTGCAAACTGTTCATTGAATAGTCTATGCTCCCATTTTATACTATAACGGCACTCGTCGATACCAACGAAACAAACGTTCTCGTCGGTTTCAGACAGGAGTGCCCCCAGCATGTATCGATATATCGATGAAAAATGCGGTCAATAAATAGTCTGCTTAAACTTGGTCACACTGCTAAAAGTGCTTCATAGTATTTTCAGCTTTGCCTCTCTTGGTCAGTGCCGTCAGTCGTCTTGAAAATTTTAATAAAGTCGTGAGTTTACAGCGCTAGCAGTTCAGTTTCGGAAACAAAATAAAATACATAAATAAATAACAAACTGGTAATGCGTCGCTTGAAATATGAGTAATTGACACATTTAGCAAGTGCACGTGTTAAATGCAAAGTGTAAATTGGCATACGAATATCCAAATACTGTGTATGCGCGTATGTGTGTGCGTGTTAACGTGTAGCGATGTCATTAACAATATACATACATGTCTAACTATATATATATTAATATGTATGTGCATGTGAATGTATATAAATCAGGCGCCCCATACGCCTCCCACTACACTCGAAAAGAAGAGCGCAGGAATTTTGAGCGTGGTGTGCAGAATTTGTTGCTGTTATTCAAAACATAACTATGCACACCGCCGCTTTAGCACTCACAAATTGTTTATAAATATTTACTAACACTGCTTACGGCACCAATATTTTGCACGCGTTACAAAACCAAATAATGTATCAACGTCAACTTATCGGCTCTTGCTATTGTTTTTATCACAGCTACATGTGTATTTGTATGTATGTATGCATGCATATGTACGAGTATGTAGTACGTATGTATATTAGTTGGGAGCGACACACGTACACACACACACACTGACGCAGCAGCTCTATTGTTGCTAAAGAGTCTTTGCTAGTGCAAATCAAGTAATAAATAAACAATTATACTTTTGTTGTCTGTAGATCAAAATCAAAGCCGCGCTCTTCCTGCGGCCAACGCTGTCGTCGGACAAATTATTTGTGCTGAAGTTCATCAAATTGAACTGATTCAAATTAAACGGCGGCATTAGCTTTTCAAGTTTGGTAAGTTCATTAACTCTCGCTCTCATGAAAATCAAATTAGAATCCAGTTGGAACATAATGATGGAAAATTGAATAGGTCTCCTACTTATGCTATTCTTGATTATTTATACTATATAAGTCTGTACACATGCGTGTCAGGTTTAAGGAAAACCTCTTCTGCGGACATGTCTAAGCATGCAGGTCCTTAGGTCACCGAACTTTCGCGAGCTACATGCCTAGCTGGTCGCAGGTAGCAACAACCTATGTAACTGAAAATCATTTTCAATGCGCCTTGATTATCTGTTGACATTCGCGAAAAACTTCTTTGTCTTGCTTTATCTCCACATGTATTTACCTGAAAAAGGTATCTAGTTAAATCTGTTTTTCATGCTGCTTCTACATTTGCTACTGCTGTTGTTTTTGTTGTTGTTGTTTTTGCTGTCTACTGCATTTTTCACATTGCCGGCTTTGGGAACCGGTTATGAATCGACACATCCGATCCGAACTTCCCAGTTTCCAATGTCTTAGTCATTATTGATCATTTTTGCTTATCTGAAATAATTCTGAGTCATGTTAAAATTTATAAATTGTTTTTTTTTTTTTTTTTTTTTTTACTTTATGGGTGATTTTCTTATGAGTATATAGAAGGAATATTGTACATTAAACACTAAAAATGAAGTTCTAAAATTTCTATTTAAGTTCAGCAAAAATAATAAATTTGTTCTTTGGGAATTTGATCAAATAATTTGTTGTCAAATTGATTCCCTTTTGTTGAAATTTAAAGAGAATTGCTTAACTTCATGAATTCATACAATTCGCAAGAGAATTTTAAATTCCGTTATATTTATTAAAATATAGTATATCCTCCCCTGCCTATCAGTCGTTTATTTAATAAATATTAATAATTAATTATAATTTGATTATAATGTAGTGGCGATTCCACTTTGACTGGCCGGCCCACTAGAATTATATTTTCTGCTCGTTCAGCGAGAAACAAGAGAGTATATTAGTTTTATAGCATTGTGATTGCTCCTCAGTGATTCTTYTTTTCAAATCACTATATACTATATTAATATTTTAATTTATATATTTTCTTTGGTAACATAGATCAGATAGATCAGCAGATATTTATATATGTCATTTATAATTTAGCTCACTAGTGAAGCGTTAGAGTTCGTTATATATTGGTAAGGAGTATTCCGCAGTTGGGCGTACCCCACTGCAATTAACTTCTGGATGCTTTGGCGTGTGACATTTTCAGCCAGCGCTGTGCATCGGGATTTCGCCTTTGATATTCGTTTAAAGGTCATGCCCCGTATTCAGACGGTAGAACCCAATTCAACCACCTCCCTGTCTACCTCCCTACCTCCACCAATTATTTAAATACCGATTGATTGACATCGAGTACAAAAAATCAATATAGTGTTAATTAAGTTTCGAACCAAATATGATTTTCCATTTATTTATTTATGTATTTGTTTCGCCCCGCTCATCAATATTAAAACTACTTAAATATTTGCAATTCATAAACCTCAATAATGTGGAAACTGGAACTACGAGAACTGGGTTATGTTTGCCCGCGTGTATTATGATTTATGACTAGAGCAAAAGTGGGTTAGATTTCCTTCTTGGTTTGGCTCCATAATAAGCACAATTAGCTAGACCAGATAAGACCCCATCTCAGATAATCAGACTTTGATATTGTTCACATTAGTTCTGTGCCAAGTGAAAGTGTTTGAATAGGCATTTATATAAGCAACATAATCTGATTGCTTAGACTGAGAACTGGTATATAACATGATATAAACGAATCTTATAAATAATACATATATATATCAATGCTATCTAGTTCCTGGTCTATTAGAGATTCAGAACTGATTTTATATATATTTTGTATTTTATAATCGTGATAAATATATAGAATCTTTATAGTTCTAAGGCAAGGCATAAATTTTGTTGTTCAGTGTACCTAACTGAAATTTAAGTGTTTTTGGCTATTAATGCAAAAAAAAAAAAGTATTGCTTCCTGCTGATAAGAGGCCAGCTGACTGCTTGTAAGCCGAATTGGGTCAGTAATATATATTTATATATAGCATTCAGCCAATGCCACGCCTACCAAAACATACCCAACCGCGACCCTTTACCTTTTTCTTTTCGGGCCCTGCAATGTGCCACAAAATTTGCATAAATAAATCAAAACTCACTTACCTGTCCCACTTTTCTCCAATACTACCCACACCTATCCCCATGCCCTCTCTCAACATTCTCTTTACGCGTTCTCTCTTCACTCTATTGCCCTCAGGCCGGCGCTTTTCATCTGCTTTTGTTGTTGCTGGTTTTTTGCGCCTTTTTGTGCTTTTCCGCGCCTGCCTTTGGGGGCCGCAGGAAAACCGGGTTAATTGTCAGCTGCGCAGTTGATGGCGCTTCTTTGCTTTTAGTTTCTGCAAAAAAAGGCAAAATTACAAGTAAAAGTGTTTTCGTCGGCAATGCGCGACCGCCCAATACCCTAAATGCTGCCCTCAGCTGCTTCTTTCCTTGGCTTTAACTCTTATAAAAAAATCTAACGAATTTCTGGAATTATATTTGTTTGCTCTTGTAGCTTTTCCTGTTTATTAATTAAGATTTATTGATAATTTAATATACAGACTCAAGTTCTTTTGCTTGTTTCACATGCCTGCACTTAGCCAATATACCCTATTTACCGATTTTCAATGGGTAAAATAAAATTGTTGTTGGCGCAATTTCCGCCATTGTCCGCAAATGCAATTTTGTGATTAAAATAATTATTTGATTCGGTTTTTGTTTTTTTTTTTTTTTATATTATTTTTATTCACTTTTTTAGCAACTTATTTGCTTTGGCATTATGGGAATACCAATTGTTCTATGATAACTTCAATGTCCCGCATGTTCACCTTTCTTTACACTGAAGTTCTCTTTACTGCTGATATCTTCTTGTCTGATCTCTTCTCTTCTGACATCTCATCGCTTCTCTGTGATCACTTCCCTTTTGATTGCTTATATGACAGAAATTCCAGTATCATTCCTCCATACTCACTTGAGTAATATGTACATCGATAATATTTTCCATGGTCATTTGTATAACATACGTTATATTTGTCAACTTACATACTTCTATTATTCCCAAGCAGTTTTCTTTAGTTATTGGTCAACTTACACTGCAGGCTTCGATGAAATTGTAGGTCATGTTTTTGTTTTAGGTCTACACTCTCAAAAATTCTTATCAGAGATCATATGAGATTATGCTGGTGTTGCCATGCGGCCTATCAGATGTTGGCCAGCATACGCGAGTGGGCGGCAGATAGAAGGAGTAACCTAGAAAGGCCATAAAGTCAACATGGCATATGCCAAAAGCTCAACATGTACGAAACTCTGTTAACACACACACACATATATATATATATATATATATATATATATATCTGTGTCTGACTATACAGATACACACATGCAAATGTTGTGCGGCCAATTAAGCAACATGACCTAGAATATTGTAACCCAATTGTGCCCCAACTCGGCTTAAATCACAGCTGTGCAGCTGTATGTGTGTGTAAGTGTGCGTATTAAATGTGCACTGTATCTGTGCGGCTGTGTGGTTGAGTGAGTGAGTGTAGCCTTTGCATGTGTGCTGCATGCTTAATTGTCGTAATAAATGCGTAGGCACATCACGTGCTATAGATATTTATGTACAAACGAAGCATGCATATATGCAAACACATATACATGTATATTATATATCAACTAAATAAATGTATTTAGTATTTTTAAGTGCCAACGCTTACCCTTGCCGTTTCTTTCGGTCAATTCGTTTTAGTTTAACGTTTCTACAACAATATTATGATATAGTAATTCCAACAGATTTATTAATTATATAGAGACATATAGATAAATAGTCACGGAAATGATATTTAGACAATGCTTAGTATATATATATATATATATCTGAGATAGACTGGACTATAACATACGATAATAAAATATATATGCATAAATATGTATGCATTATAAATGTATATATTTATTTTATATATTTTCATTATGCATTCCAATATTCCTGATATGATTCTATTGGCATTAGTGAATGTGTGAGCTTAGCTTAGTTTATTCCTATGTAACATTATCATACACATATATAATACTACTATACAATTTTAGCGTCAGTCAAAATAACTCGAGCTTCTTTGTAGGCATTCGAAATTGTTGTAATTACAGCTTATTAAATTGTTTTTCGTTATCATGGGCTTCGAGGTCTTACAGCACTAATTCTATATAGCTATAGCTTAACTTAATTATTACAAGCACGTTCCTGGACAAGCTAAAAACCTAAAACTGGTTAACTCGCTGACATAACCATGAAATCGGATTGAACTCGTCCGTCGTTCGAAATATGTTAGTAGAGCCACTGTTTTATGGATAGGAGCTTTACCTAACTAACTGTCTTTTTCTGCCCCTCGCTCTCTCTCTTTCTGCCCCTACGCTTTCGATTCGCTTGTCATTTGATTGAGGTAACCCATTTACTCTTGCCAGACACGTTTGGATCAACTGATTTGCTGGCAATGCCGCTATCAGAGAGTGGCTCAAAGGCTCAATCAATGCTATGTTATGCTATCAGCTAAAGCCCTGTCTATAAGGCATGACATGGTATAAGGCCAACTAAAACACTCTTGACCAGTGTTCAATAAAGTGTGAAGGTGAGAACTGCTAGCAATTTACAGGTGAGCGCATGCATAGAGCAAGTGAATTCAGCTCAAGTTGTATATCAATGGAGCATGTAGGCCCTATGGCTATGACACATGAATTGAGATATTCTTGCTTTATATTATTTCATATATATTGTTCTCATTTGTTGTTTTATTGGTATTTGTAAAAATGAACAAAGACTAGTGAGAGAAGGAAGCGAACTGCGTCGTAATTATTAATATCTTTCTTTTAAGACATTGACTAGTCTTCTACTTATATGTACACATATACTCAGAGAGTGAAAGAGCCAGAGAACTGTTTGCTATACATGAATCAGCTCTCTTATCAAATATCTAGCAGATTTTAGTTAGTTAGTTAGTTAGTTATCATTATTAGATTCCAAAAATGTCATTGAATGTACAAAAAAATTCAACACAATACTTTAAATCATACAGATCAAAGTTTCTACAGCCTCTTAACAGTCTAATCAATTCCATAGTTATTTTGATGTATATTTATTTATGTATAATATCTATATAAATACGAGCAGACATAGGGTCATAAATGATATTAATACCACACTTATCACACAATTAGTTAAACACAATGTATTCACATTGTTTTATTTTTTGCGCATATATAATTTTCGTATCTCTTTACTGTCACTTTTCCGTAGTTTCCAAGCTGACCAAAAATGATAAGAATGGACTGTTTGCTCATCAAATGGGTATTATGAATTTCGAATGTTGTATGTCTTCAATTTTAAATTATTGTATTACCTATATAAGCGAAATATCTTAAAATTTTTTGAATAAGTTATAGTTCACAAACAAATTAAGCACCGTTAACATGTGTGTCTATAAATAGATTTATTTATAATCCATATTATATAGCGTAAGGGTATCTACATATTGGTTTAATCTCTTCTACACTTCCTCTTCTATTTTGCACATGCCAACGCAGATTCATTAAAAAACGGTATTGTGTCGTGCTTATCGCACGCTGTCGCAGATCTTTATCTATGGTAAGCGGCCGCTGATAAGGGGATAAAAGCAAATATTGGTCCTTAGATAAGGCCTGCAGCTTACGCATTGTTCGGGTGTATCACAAATAATTCTCATTTAATATTTTGCCATCACTTTTTTGGCGTCTCGTGTGCCGAGACTGGGCGAGAGATAAAGCCAGGAGAAAAGCCACAAAGGGATTGTGAAATCTATTGTAGTTGCTGTTGCTGTTGTTGTTGCTGTTGAGGGAACTTTTGTTTTTGTTGTTGAATGAAGCAGCGAGCAATGCCAATGCCAACGGCCACGCCTGCTGCTTCTGTTGCCCTAAGTTGCAGTGGGGGCCAAAAGAGTTTGTTTAGTTGCTTAGTCAACAAGCTGATCGAGTATACATAGTAATATATATATATATATATATACGAGAAAGTAAATGCGAGAGCATGCAAATTGTTTTTCTTAGCAACAAGCTAGTCCCACCCTMCWACACGCCCSCATCCCTTACYAGCTGCACCCCCAACTCTTGGCGAGCGGTCGCTCGCCCTCTTGACGACGAATCCAATGTCGTTATTTGTATTATATTCGTTTCAGTTGAAATTGTTTTGTATACCTTATTTATGTTTACGTAAAAAAAACAAACAAGTGCTGTTGCAGCGCTTCGCAGTAAAAAACAATTGCTATCTATATGTAAATACATTGCATACAGGCATTTTTAAATTGCCGGCCAACTCGTGCTCTCGCATAACTGTAATTCAATTAACAGCAGCAACGGTACCGGCAGCAGCAATAGCCGCATTAAAAACTCAACTATCAATTCAGCTTAACAAACCCTGCAAGTCAAATGCAGTTTTTTGTGTAAGTCAAACGAATTCGCCAGTTCCAGTTGAATATCAAGAGAAATCCAATTGGACAAAGTGCCTCTAACCCTTCACAGTAACTATTGGTGTTAGTGAAAATAATTAGCCGGTGTCGTTAAATATGAACATAAATAACCACAAATCCAATTGGATTTGATTATGTGTGAATCCCTTAACATGCAAATGTAAACACGAATAAATTTAACATATTCACCTATCTAGTCAATTGGCATGTGGACAGAGAGTGCTCTAGCCATGATCAGCTGTTAATCCTTTAACATTTTAATGTTAATATCATTACAAGTGTATAGCGTATGTTATGGGTGCTTGATCTGTTAACCGTTCTATTACCAAAAATATAACATTCTAATGCTATTAACATGGGATCCCGCTTTAGCGCTATTGATTTGATGATAGTGCCTATATAATGTCATCTCAATTAAATCGGACGTTACCCATACGTACTTACAATACCATATATAAATTGCAGCAGATGCACTTAACAAAATTTGTTTCACTCAGTAATTCCAGCAAATCAAATGCATTTCTTTGTGTAAGTCAATCAAAGCAAAGCTCAAAGAGCAGTCAACCATAAACTGAAGCAATGAGAGAGAAAGAGAGAGAGTGAGAAAAAGGGACAGGTAACAGTCCCAATTGGCATACCTGTCCCTGTTTTTCGGCGAGCTACACCCACTCAAGCGTAGCCTAAAGTGTTTTTCAATTTTATCTATTTTCATTCAATTAAATCTCGTGTGTAAAACTTTTCCGACAATAAAAAAAGTTTCCGTGACAATTGAATAAAACTCAATTTGTTGCTAATTTGTTTTCAAAGATTTTTCACTTAAAACGAATTCAATTTATGCACTGAATTGAAAGGTGATTGAACGCGCGGTCTGCGGACCGCCTTATATACTGATTTTACTTAATTGTAGTCTATTTTATATATATATGCAGAGATCCGTGTATGTATAATGCTACTTTTATAATTTCTTAAGTTTCTATAATAGAGCAACTAAATTAATTAACATGACAAATACATGATATCTATAAGAAAAAGAATGTTTTTGAAATACTTAAATTTTATACAAATATACCTATATATAACTATTTATATATCTGATTATATCACTTATCTAAATTTTGTCTTTCAGCTTCTCCAAGATGTCCAAATATTCGGGCAAAAAATGTCGCCTGCTCTCAATGATGTGGCTGACGGCGTTTTTCTTCTTTGTGGAGATCATCGTGGGCTATGTGACCAACTCGATGGCGCTAGTGGCGGACAGTTTTCACATGTTGGGCGACATTGCTGCCCTGGTCATATCATTCCTCTCAGTGAAGGTGAGTGCACCATAACCCTATGATATACATAAAACTATAATTAATATGTAAATACATGTATATTCTTATTCACAGATGTCGCCCAAAAAATGGTCGAAGAACACCTTTGGCTGGGCACGAGCCGAGGTGCTGGGAGCTCTGGTCAATGCGGTGTTTCTGGTTGCGCTCTGCTTCAGCATCACGATTGAGGCTTGCAAAAGGTGAGGCACTTGTACCTGTACCCGTATACATACTATATAYATATATATAGTGTATATATTTATGTTTCTTTGTTGCTGTGGTCAACGCCTCCACAACGCAGGCACACACACCTAAAGCGCAATCCGAACCGTTTGCCTTGTCACCATTACGTCTTACACATTTTCTTGACCACTTTGTTGTTGTTGTTAGTCGTTCGTTTAATTTGTAAATTTGTATTTTGCGTTTTTTGTCATTCGCTATTCGCAACGTTTCAATTTGCATGCCGCGTGCATATTTATTTCTTCCCACTTTACGATTTTATACGCCATTCGATTGGATAAACGTGCAAAGGCTGCTCCTTTATTGTTCAATAGAATTGATCAAGATCTGAGTTTAGCTGAGTAAATATATGCAGTTAAGCATATGCATATATTTTCTCAGTATTACTATATAAAAATTCATCATGTAAAAGTATAAAATATTAATTTGGTGACATTTTCATGTTAATAACAGCAATCTGCATGCAGCATAACAGAGCTAATGCTATTGACTTTGCAATATAACAGAGCTAAAAACTTAACATTTACGCATTTTCTTATTAACATTTATATGTAATTAATAACATGCCTGTGATAGAGTTTAAAGCGAATGTTATGCATTTGCTGGATTGAACAATTGCTTAAATTTTCTCTTGCATTTTTGTCACAGGTTCATTGAGCAGGAGCCCATACATCAGCCAGAGCTATTGCTCATTGTGGGTATACTCGGTCTGCTGGTCAACATGATTGGCCTGTGTCTGCTCTATGGTGCGTATGCTACATATTAGTTAATTTAATTCATTAATAGAACAAGGTTTATTGATTTTAGAGCATGGCGGTCATCATGGACACTCGCATGGCGGTGGTTTGACACGCAATCACAGCCGGCTTACAGAGCTGGCCAACATGGACGAGGGTGAGGATGAGCCGAACGATTATGCCTATGAAAAGCAGAAGGAAAAGCAAGTTAAGAAGTCCAGCCATGGACACAGCCATGATCCCGGCCAGATGAACATGCGTGGCGCCTTTCTGCACGTGCTCAGCGATGCCTTGGGCAGCGTTATTGTGGTAGTGAGTGCACTGGTAGTCTGGAAGAGTGACTGGGAGTATCGCCTGTACATTGATCCAGCGCTGTCCATTGTGCTGGTAGCGCTAATCTTGCACTCTGTGTGGCCGCTGCTGCGTGAATCGGCGCTCATTTTGCTGCAAACGGTGCCCACGCACATTCAGGTGGACGCCATACAGAAACGTCTGCTGGAGAAGGTGGATGGCGTGCTGGCAGTGCACGAGTTCCATGTCTGGCAGTTGGCCGGTGATCGCATCATTGCGTCTGCACACATACGGTAGGAGTTAATCGAAATACCCTTAAATACTCTTAGCTAATTTTGAGTTGCCTTGCAGTTGCCGTAATCTGTCAGAGTACATGAAGATAGCTGAGAAGGTGAAAGAGTTCTTTCACAATGAAGGCATACACTCGACCACCATACAGCCAGAGTTCAGTGAGATCGAGGGCTGCAATATGTCCGATGGCACCTCCAGCATTAATATGAGTGGCTCCGATTGCTGTGCGCTCGACTGTCCCACCACAGAGGAGGGCTGCGTGAAAGCCACCTGCTGCCAAAACAACAACAAATTGGTGCGTTGCAATAAATTTCCATTGAACAAGAGAAAGTTAAATCGATATTCGTTTACAGAATCCGCTGCCTTCACCCTCAAGTTCACCTTACATGTGCCGTCAACGCAACGCGGCACGCCAAGCGGGCGATGTTGAGGCTGGCTCGCTGCTAGAGGCCGCAGCCAGTGGCGTCAACCCGGTGATAAGCAATGGCAGCGCTGTTACAGCAGCCGCGGAGCCAACGCCAAAGAATGAAATAGTCTGACAACAGCAACAGCAGCAGTCAACAGCACAACAGCATCAAGTACACTTTGATACAAGCCCAACCACTAAAACAACCACAACCACAACATCATCAACAACACGTGATATAATAAAGCAAAAAACTTCCAAAGTCATCGCGGCCAGCGATGCCAGCCCAAGTCTCTCGCTAACTGCACAAAGACGTCGCGAGCTGCAGCTGCGTGCCGAGGAGCAGTCCAAGGAGCAAGTGAAACTCAGCGGCGGTGCCTGCACCCGGAACGGCGATGAGGTGGCGCTTTAAAGGAGCAGTAGCAGTAGAAGGAGACGCAACCTAAGCTGTTTAGTAGAAAATACATCCACACACATATTTTGTTTTTAGTTCGTGGTTAAGTGCAGGTTCTCAGCGTTGTTGTCTAGTTTAGCAGATAAAGAATTATTTTAAAGTGTTGGTGCTTATGTGCAACAAGCGACWACAACAACATAAACACAAACATTAACAGCGCACCATAATTCATTTACATATTTTATGAGCTAGTTTAATTGAAATCAAAATGTTTAGATTTAGCAATTTAGCAGTTTTTCATATAATATATATAAATTATATGAAATGTTGATAGATTGAACAAAATGAAAAAAATTGAAACAAAAGATTAGTTAATTCTTAGCCGTAAGAGCAACAACAATTAAGAATATATGTACGTTTTTTACATTTTGAAAAAGTTTATACATGAAAAGGAGATGAGAAAACACACATTATATTTAGTAGATATATATATACATAATATAGTTAATGAACAAAGACAGTGACAGCTGTGACTGTTTAGCGGAAAGTTAAAAGAATTACGAATACCAAGCGTATTAAAATTTTTGCAAATTCTATAAAAAAAAAAAAGTAAAATAAAAACTTATATATACATTTTATAATTAGGCATTAATTTTTTATTCTTAGTAGTTTGATTAATAATGCTAAAGTATGAAAAGGGGTTTGCTGCGCTATGCTAATTAGTATATCATTAATTATATTTATCATTACTATGCCGCTGTATTATCCTATCTGATTGTTTCACTGTGTTTACGTAGATGTCTGTAAATATGCCTAAATCAAACATAAATCATTATATAATTAAATGATACGAGAAATGAAAGCCAAACAAAATATAATTCTATTTGATTTTGATTAAAGCCAAAGCCCTTCCAAATTTCATTTGTAAATAATATATTTTATTATAGTTTTGCAATTTTAACTCACTTCATTACAACTTAAAACAATAAACAAAGTATTTGCATTTTATTTACAGAGTAGATAACTTTTCCTGTATATTTACAATCGACTTTAAGTGTGAATTTTAATGAAAATTAAATTTGAAAAGCAAACTAAAGCTAAAATAAATTAGATCTTTCAAAGGAATGTAACAAACAAAAGACTGTGCTTGACATAAAGAAAATATTTATTGCTCTGGCTCGTGCTCCCCGTCATCAATGCATTGCATCTCTGAGAAGCGAAGCTGACGCTATAAGTTCTCATCCAGATTCTTGTCGGTGTTCTCCTCGACAATCGCCTCATCCCACGGTCCGTGAATATTGAACTTATGCCTTTGGTTCCTCACGAATATGAGCGGACAGGCGAAGTTAATGAAAAGCGTGGTGCAGGCATATAGATATAGCACGGGCCGCGATATGTAATAGAGCGCCGCACAGCATATGCAGAAGATGGGCACCATGCATAGGGCGTGCCATGTGGCCGCTGTTATGATGGGATAGAGCACAAAGAAGATTGCCGCCTCCACGAGCAGCACAAAGGCGTGATACGACGTAGACAGACGTGACGCCAAGCATATAGCTCCGAATATGGCTGCATTGAGGGATACGGCCTTGGAGACCATGGCCACGACCAGGCCGTAGTCGGAGAACATAAGATTGAAGAGCATCACAAAGAATGTCGTTGTATATATGGTGTCCGTACTAATGGCCTGTGTCAGGGTATGCAGCATCGGTGAGAAGATGTAACCAAAGAGCAGCACCGTGCACAGCGTCTTCGAGTCCTCGCCCAGCAATTTCATGCTGAGACTGCTGCCCCGATAATATAAATATCCGATGCCAGTGATGATGCACGTGGGCACCAGTATACTCGTTGGTCCAACGCTATCGCTGAGCATCATATAGTAGAGTATCAGAAAGCCAGTTATGCAGGATATTTGATTGTTCAGCACGGTGATGCCGGCAACAGCCTCACCGAACGTATAAAGTCGTACGTGAAGATTCGTTTGCAAATCTTTCAGAAAACTCACATCCGTATAGTTGTCCGGATAGTCACGATTTGAGTAGAGGTTCTTGACCCAAGGCTTACGCTTACCGTGCGTGGTTTTAGCCATTTTTTAATTAGAACCAAATACATTTATTGACAATTGGTTTGTTTACAAGCAATCAGCTGATAGAGTAATCGATATCACCAATGTATGTATCGATAACAAAAAGAGGAGGCGCGCAAATTGAATTTAGATTAACTTAAAAAAGACCTCCGAAATTGTTAAAATGTTTTATTCGCGCTTAAGAGTTAGTTGTATAAAGGCTGTATTATTAATATTATTAGGCGGGCAAAAGTGCCCTTGGCTAGTATTGTAGCGTATATATAGTATATAGAGTTAAAATAAGTAAAAATCCATTGGATTAGTTACAAAGGGGCAATCGTCGAAGAATTGGTTAAACTAACCCAAATAACATTGCATTAAAAATTGTGAGTAGGCACTTTCGTCAGCTTTTAAAAATGGGCTCTAAATAAGGCCACTGTCAACAATAAGAGATTCCTCTATAAATACGATAAGGATTATAGAATTTAGGACCAGCCGCCCGTCAGTTTATGAAACAGTTCCTCGTTGAGCGTCTGATTGTTATCCTTGGAGCGCATTGACATGAAAATGTAACCGCCAATAAATTCGTGCACCACCTTACAGTCAGCAGAGAGGCAAGAAAAGACGACGTTCTCATCGTTGAACTGAATCATCATGCACTTAATGCCCCAGTTAACGTTCCAGGCCTTCATGCTATTGTAGCGCCAGGTCTTGATGTGATCCCCCGTGCTCAGATCCATGCGCATGATTCGATTGTGGGCCACACCCAGCAGCTCCTCCTTGCGGTGGCCGTCAAACTTGATGATGAACAGCGAGACGCCAAAGTCGGGCAGAGATTGCCAAGCTTGGATATACTTCAATTTCGCTTCTAGCAGTGACAGCTCCCGCACATTGGCGTGCGCCTCTAGAATGCGTTGTACGGCCTTGCCGGACAGCTTGCGCAGCATCTTCGGCGACAGATAGTCGACAGGATCCACACTGCGTGGATCGATGTTGACGTGGATGCCATGCACGGGTCGTTGCATCTGCAGCAGTGAGAGAATGCCATCGACTTCGCTCTCGTATGTGCTGTCCGCCAGGGAACGTCCCTTGGCTGCCAGGCGACACGCGGCCAGCCACTTGGCGTACTGTTGCTCGTTCTCGCAGCGCACCCAGACTTCGCTGTTGGGTCCATGGCGATCCTCCGGTGACACCTCGAGCCGTATCGCATATTTGCCTTGTGCCAGATTCACATCTGGCGTCACCTCGCAGCCACGCAAATTGATACTAATTACGGGCGCAGTGCGTCGCGAATCCTCGGCGCATTTGTACAGGTGCAAATGCAAGTCGCGATAGGTGAAGAAGTAGCGCTTGTAGCCACGCAACGTGAAGCGCTGCGGCTTAAGGAAGCGCAAATAGTCCGAGAGTTCCGGTATATGGGTGATGTTAACCGAATCGTTGGCATTACCACCTTCCAGCGTGATCTGCAGCTCATTGAGCGCCGAATCGATGTCRTCGTCGTCGTTCTCCTGGCTGGACGTCTCAACGCCCGAATCTACGGCGGGCAGCGGCTGCATGTCCACCTGATGATTCACCTGGAACTGAAGAGCTGCAAACATCAGCGTCTCCTGCTCGGTGCAATCCAGTTCCTCGTTCAGAATTGACCATTTGGCCTGCTCGTACAGCTGGTTGATGCGCACCTGGTCGTACTTGGGATTCATGTCAAAGAACGTATAGTATTTGAAGCGTAAGCACAAAGTGTCATATTCCCGAATGCCCTGTTCCATCAGCGACAACGAACTGTCCAGCCAGCCAACATTCAGTCGAGCCTTCTCCACCAACGATTTGGGACGCAACAGACGGGCGCGTACCTCAGCGCTGGGCGCATGCGGCGAACTGGCCAAGTTCTCTTGGAAGTCGCCCAAACTCGAGGAGGAGGAGTCATAGGTGCCGTAGCCTGTATGGCTGGGCTTCCAGTTTCCGGGTGTGTGAGGCGTGGGAGAGCGTCGACCTGCCACATGATGTGGAGAGAGCGGCGCACAGAAGAACAAACCTGGAGCGGATGGTTTGTCAAGGCTGCCGTTGCTGCCGCCATTAAAACTTGAATTGATGGGTACAAAAGAGTTGGTATCTGGGGCAGGCTGCAGGTAAGTCGTGCCGTCTGGCTCCGCAATCGGCACACGCTTCAGATGCGGCAACTGGGCAAAGTTCTTTTTTAGATGCTCCGGCTCAAGTGGCTTGCACAGGGACAACTCCTCAGGATAGCGTATGTCCAGCTGTTTGCACAGATTCACAACAGCTGCAAAGGTTTTTGCCGAGTAATCCACGCGGCAGTCAATGTAACGCAGATCTGGCAGCTGGACGCGCAGAATCTTGTGCATGGGAGTAAAGTGGAGCAAGCAGTCCGCCTGGACGCCACATTGGTCTAGTGTGGCTCGTGTGCGTGTAAGCCAAATGTTCTTGGCTGGCCAGTAGAGCGCATGATCGGACCAATCTTTCGGATTCTCTGGATCGACCAGCTGCAGCATTATGCTGCCCAAATGCTGGTCACCGCGCACGCGCATTGTACGCTCCAGAGACAGATCCGTTATGAAGATGCGCAAATTCCATGAATTCTCACCAACGTGAATCATTTTTATTTATTTGTGCGTGCTGATGTCAGATGTGCCCTTTAATCTGCAGCCACTGTCTATCTCTCTCTCTCTCACACTCACTCTTTCTGTAAACGTCCTTGTGGCGGCGCCTACGTCAATTCGCTTCGCCTACAAAGATGAAAATCTTATGAGTTTGTGCTGCATCTGTTTACGAATACAGTTATTTCAACGAATTCTTGAAGTTTCAATTACACACTTTAATGCGGGCACGCTGCATATGCCGTAATACTTCCGGAAGCGCACAATTTCATTGATTGATTTTCACTTGAGAAACTGGAGCAATTAATAAAAATGCATTGAAATAGAAAGCGACGTTCGTTGTTCAATGAATAGCTGCTGTGATGTTCACTGCTGAACCAGTCGAGAACTGATGTGAAATTGCAATAAGTTGCCAGCACTATTGTAATCGATAGACTTTTGTGTTTAAATTTTACGATGCGTAAGTACCGTTACCTACCGCTTGCCATGACAACGAACCTCAGGTTAAGCTTTAGCACCCACTGATTTCATTTCAATGTCAACGACTAACAAATAAATTAATTATTATTAATCCCCACCGAAATGTCAGTCTGCAACTGTTACGCACAAAATGAGCATTCACATCAAGTTGTCAGCGCCCGCCTATCGATAGGTAAAATCACATTGTTTTGTTTTGACGATGTCCAAGTACCGTTATATTTGTTTTACCATGGCAACCAACTCTAAATTAAAAATCAGCCCCAAGGCTAAACTATTCTATGATATTTTACAAACAAACAGTAAACAAACAARCAAACACAAAATTCGTAACCAGAGCAGCAGCCGTTTAATTTTCAGTTAGAAACCGACAGCTGTACCAGCCGGCAACAATATTACACCAACATTCGAATTCATCATTAACAATATTTACACAGAGGAAACAACTCAACAAATAAATTTTAACTTTTCTACGCAATCATAAAAAATATAAAATAAAGTGCCCTCGTGTGCACTTAAATGGTATCGCCGCGCAGATCCGCATCCCCCATAACAGAAGAACCTCGGTGGGATAATAACATGTCGTAAGTATCCCAGTGGATCACTGCATTATCCCTCATCCCCCTAACTCGCAACTCACAGGTTGCCGGCAAAAAGTTGTGAAAGCCTCTATTCGGCTAGCTCTCGCGAATCTGCTAGTCAAATATATCAGCGGAAACAACCGCAGCGCGGCATGAAGGCATCTAATGGTCTTCGCCAGCCATCGATGGTGAACAACAAAGCCACCAGCGACATCCACCAACGGGTGATGTCCGCACGTAATTTGCGGGTGAAGACCTTCCAGAACCAGCTGGCGGATGCCCAAGCCGAGATTTCGAATTTGGCCCACGAGAACCGTATGCTGCGCACCATGCACAAACGCCAATCGATGGCCCTCAATAAATATGAGAATACGGGTGCGGAGCTGCCTCAGCTTTTGCACTCTCATGCCGAGGAGCTACGTGTCTGGCAGACCAAACATCGCAATGTACAGGCGGCCAACAAGGAGCTGGAGCAGAAGCTTAAGCAGAAGGAACAACAAATCCTGACTCTAAGCGACCAGAACAGACACTTCAGTCAGCTGATTCGAGACAAGTAAGTCGCAGTTAGGGTGGCACTTAAGGATTATATGCTTACATACATTTACTGTATAGAAATCTAGATGAACGACAAAAGCTACAGGATAAGCTGCGTGTCCTGGAGCAGCGCCTGCAGGAAAAGGATAACGATATGAAGCTCATGGCACGCAAAGTGCAGCTGGAATCGAAGAACTTCCGCCAGCAGCTGCTCAACGAGCAAAAGAAGTGCAAGGAAGTGATGCTGAAACTGGAGAAGGCCAAGTTGGAAATCAGTGGCTATCGCAAGCTGGAGGAATTCACAGTTGAGTCAACGCATTCAAATCGATATACGTAATATATATGTGTTGTTCCTAATTGTAGATTGACAAGTCTAATCCCTTGTCTGCGAGTCGACGCACTAAACTGAATGCTGTCGAGGAAACAGATAAGATTGAAAAGTTGGAGAAGTCTCTCGAAATGCTGGACAAGGCCATTGAGAAGAACAATCAAAGTGAATTCAATGCGCTGACCGACGTTCTAGATACAGACTCAAATTTCGATTTCGAAAAGGACGATGATGAGGAGAAGAATGCCATTCAAGCGTCAGAGGGCCCAGATAACAAAGACAACAAACCAATACGCGCCAAATTGACGCTACCTCCAGCCAACAACCAGTTCAAGCCGTTGTCTAGTGCTCAATCCAATGCATCGCGTCCTTCGCTCGGCCAATCCTTGATTCCGTCCAAACTCAATTCTAGCAAATCGAACTCACGTCAGCGTACCGGTGCCGGCGGCGGCGGCGGCGGCGGTGGCTTTGGTGGCAGCATAACCACATTGGCCAGCAGCAATGCACGCAGCAGCTTGCCTGGCAAGCGTCGAGAGAGCGAGGCCCCCAGCTCC